ACCACAAGTTAAGCTTAATTGACTCAAGTTGGGTCGAGTGTTCTCTCTAGTGTCTGCCTTTCTGTCTCTTCCTCCTTCATTACCTCCCTTCTTCTGTAACAAGTACTGTGGCATCATGGTCTTTAAAAAGTTCCACCTAGCCGGGCGGCGGTGGCACACGCCTTTAATCCCAGTACTCGAGAGGCAGAGGCAGGCAGATCTCTGTGAGTTCGAGGCTAGGCTGGACCGACAGCCTCCAAAATAATACAGAGAAACCTAAAGGCCTAGAGGAAAATAGCAAAATTATGGGCATACATCTAAGATTGACAGAGCTCTGATATCCAAAATTAGTAATGCATGAATAATGCAGTTACATAAAAGAAGTCAGTCATATAATATATTTTAAATAGACCTGCCCAAAAAAGTTGCTACTCAATTCCAGGATTAAGTGCCCCAAACTAACACCAACGTTTTACAACTTTAAGGAAAAGCAATTGCTTAATTAGAATCAATTGCATTTTATGCCCTAAATATAGTATGTTATTATATCTAACATGTAAAAGAAGATTATTTATATATAACAGATTATTATAAAATTATAAGAATATGTATTTTATAATGCTTAAAATTCTGAATGAGGTAACCCAGTCACAAAAAGAGAAACATGCATGTACTCTCTCATATATGGATTTTAGACATAGATCTGGGGAATGCCAGCCTACAACCCATGGCCAGAGAGTCTGGGAAACACAACCATCATTCAGTGGCTGATGGAAGCAGAGGCAGACTCCCACGGCTAAGCACTGAGCTGAACTCAAGAAATCCACTGACAGAGAGGGAGGACTGATGAGCAAAGGGATTAAGACTGGGCTGATTTAACACCCAGAAACAGCTGTCAAGGGTTAGCTCTTGAATCCCAGACTGATGCCTGGGAATCCAGCATGGGACTGATCAAGACCCCCTGAATGGGGGTGTCAGTGAGGAGGCCTAGGTAATCTATTGAGCCTTGGGCAGTAGATCAGTATTTATCCCGTGTATACAAATGGGATTTGGACTCCCATCCAACAATGAGAGATGCACTCTCACCCTGGACTCTTGGGGGAGGTTCTAGGCCCTGCCCTGGATGAAATGGCAGACTATGGACACCCTCATGGAGGGCCTCACCCTCCCTGGGGAAATGAGGGTACATTGAGCGGGGGCTTGGTGGAAATGCACGGGAGGAGGGGAGGGAAATGGAGAGGGACCTGGAATTGACATGTGAAGCAACCTTGTTTCTAATTCAAATTTAAATTTAAAAATAATATATATATATATATATATACTGATGGGCTATAAAAATAAAATACACTGAAGTATTCTGTAGTATGCACGTAAAAATTTCATTCTGGAGATTTTATTTCTGTTACTATTTTCATTTCATCGGTGTCTACCATCTCTATTGTGGATATTTGTTGAATTTAAGTCATTAATGAAGATGAAAAATTGGCAGTCTGAAGGAGCCTGATGTTAACTGCAGGCTGCCTCATCTATCAGTAGGAGACATCACAACATTAGAGCTGTTCAGTCACCGGTTTCAAGAACTACACATTAGTCTTACATTTACAGAATTGCCCACTATCAAAGCACTTCTTAAATAGAGTTTCTCAAACCTATGACAAATCATTAGGACATGCCTGACATGACCAGTGTTCTTAGAGAATAAATCTGACCAGGAACTTAGCAAGTGAGAGGGAGGACAAGAGGAGAGAAAGAGAATCTTATAGAGAGGAAATGCAGGTAACATGGATAGCTGCACAGTGAGCAAGCTGTATATTCATATCAATAAAAAATGCAAGAAAGATCAGCAACCAACTAATAATGGAGGAAGGCCTCCCCTCAGGCTCAGAGGGTACATGGCCTGGATGACACTTGGATTTCTGGTTGTCTAAATACCCTTGATTGCGCCTATATCATTATGGTACTTATTTGAAGCCAATATTTATACCAAACCGAATTAAGTGGACAAGCTTTTGTTTGATTTTCCAAATTCCTGTTTTTAGTCACCAGATGTTTTCATTTTAGTCCAGAGAATCATATGATAGAAATAGTGTGTTCATTACAGTTCACCATAACTTTTATTCCTGATGTTTTAGAACATACCATAGTATACAGATTTTTTCATAAGAGAAACTGAGTAAAAAAGAACTGTTTATAAAATTATATATGTAATCATTACTAGATATTATAATGCCTAACTGAATCTGAACCCAAATCTGTATCCATTTAGCTCCATATGGTGTATGTGGGTGAAGACACTATCATTAGTGCATGGGTGGAGTAAAAATTCCTCTTTCCTTCCAACTTCATTGTGCCTGTGCTGTTAAGTCCTTGAGGGTAAAAGGAGTTCAGAATTTTTCTCTAGATAACCTCCTCCCTAACCTGGTCACTTCCTATTTTTAACACATATATTTCTTTTCCTAGAGTCTTAGTTTCTCTAGTTTTAATGGTTTTGATGACATACGTGTGATGGGGTATGACCTTCTGTATGCTGTGAATATATGTTTCTCTTATTAGTTTATGAATAAAGCTGTTTCGGCCAATGATCAGGCAGGAAATATAGGTGGGGCTGCCGGACTGGGAGAACGCTTGGAAAAGGAAGGCAGAGACAGAAGAGTGGCTAGAGAGACGCCATGTAGCCACCAAAGGAGTAACATGCTGGAGCATTACAGGTAAGCCACATCCTTGAGACAATACATAGATTAATATAAATGGGTTAATAATTAAGAGAGCTAACCAATAAGAAGCCTGAGCCATTGGCCAAACAGTTTATAATTAATATAAGCATCTGTGTGCTTATTTGGGAGTAAATGGCTGCGGGACTGGGTGGAATAGAAACTTCGCCTTCTTACATGGATATATTTCTGCTTTATTGTAGGGAAAAGGGACCAGTCAAAGAAACACACCCTGAGCAGGGCCAAAGAAACACACTTTGGCCCTGCAACTAGAACCAAAGAAATGTACCCTGACCTTGAAACCAGTGCCAAAGGAACACCCTTTGGCCCTGAAATCAGAGCCAAATCTAACCCTAATCCTGTGCAGAAAACTAACAAATCCTTGGGAAGGAGTTCTAGCCAATCTGAGCTCAGCACTGGAATCGGGCCAATCCCTACCATGGAAAAACTTCCCCTACCCCCAAGAATCCCTATATAAACCCTGTGTATGTTCAGCTTGGCAGGTCCAGCTGCTTCCTTCCAATAAACCCTTTCGATGAGCAGTGGCAGAGCAGAGGCAACCCTGGGCAGAGCAGAGCGAGCAGGGCTGTAACACTTTTGCCAGGGAACCCTTCCCTTGGCAGAGGTCAGTTGTTACAGTAGGCTCTCCACTCTCCCCGGAGCAGAACTGAACTGTAGCAATTTTCTGCAGGAGCAAAACTGCTACCCTGGGCAAACATCCCCAGCTGGAAGACCCTCTCCTGCTAGAGCAGAGCCGATACACTGGAAAGCCTTTCCCTGAGGCTGGGCTGTAAACTGCTAAGCTTACTACAACCTGTGGTGGTCCTTGGCTCCTGAGCTCCAGGATACCTTTACATCTGAGCTCTGTAACACTCAGTATTCTGTGACTCCTGAGTGCCAGAATACCTGTCCAACTGGATCTGTCCAAAATGCCAACATTTATGACATCAAAGAACAATAATAATAAACATAATAACATAATAAATATAACAAACGACATAATAAATTCATATATTGCTTGAGATATGTTGCATATTCCAACTCACTTAACTGTAAACAATATTGACTTAAAGAACAATAATGATTTAAAGAACTAAATGAACTTAGGACATATGTATAATTTAGTACAGCTCTATTTCTCACTCAAATCTGCTGCTGCAAACTTAGACTTTTTACTGCATCATAAACATCTTTTCACATTAACTATTATGAAAAATACATGGTGATAGTTATTACATGTAATATCTTACACTTAGTGCTTGGTGGCTTTAAAATTATTTCATATATTTAATGTTCAAATACTGACAGGTAGCAATTAAGAAAGAATTCTTGAATGGCTTTATCCTTCCATCATATCCTCAGCACATAAGAAAGTTAAGGGTATAGGCACACGACTGTAATTCCAGAGCCAGGAGGTGTAGGTGTAAGGATCAGAAACTTCATCTATGCACTAAATTAGAGGCCAGACAGTCTGTATGCAAACTTGTCTCAAATAAAAATAAAAACAAAGCATAAAATAAAACTGATAGATGGATAAAATAAAGGGATTTAGGAAGAACATTTAAAATATTTTGTTTTCAAATGACATGGGGAACTAGGAGATATCTCATTGTTTAAAAGCTCTTGTCACCAATACTGAGGACCTGAGTTTGATCCCTGGTAGAAGAGACATGATTCCCGCAAGCTGTTCTCTGGCCACCACATAGGTGTTTTGGTAGTGTATGCACTCATATACACACACACTGTGCACACTGCACTCACACACAAACACATTAAGTGGATTTTATAGGACAATAATAAATGTATTGCATTCATCTCTGTTGTGCTCTCAGAACTCACACCTATCTCCTGAACAAGAGGGCAAACAAAATATTCTACACTTTCCATTGACAGCATGGGCTCACTTGTTCCTACAAGAAAGAGTGTTGCTCTTAATAGTCCCCAGAGCAGATAAGTAGGGTACTGCTTCCTTCAGGAATTTAGGCCTCTACCAAAGATAACAGAAAGTTTGCTTCTTATTTTTCTTTTTACCAATTAAAGCAGTCACAAAACCCTCAGCAATTATGAATGGTATTTAGGGAACTGAGACTCTTGAGTTTTCATCACTAACTCACGTCAGGTGCCACATTTATAACTATTCCACGAAAAGCAGAAATCGTGCTGCGTTTCATCGCTGAGGGCCAGCCTTGGCTTTGGTTGTCTCATCTTCCTGCTAACAGCACTCTTAATTATGCACGCTGCCATCACCAAGCTTTGCAAACAAACACACTCTGGGACACAACTTGACACTACTGGAGGAATATTGAGTACCTTTGAGGTGAGGGCTGTGTACTTGCATCCGTTGCAAGTGTAGATTTATTGGAACAAATTCTAAAGTTTTCTCTCCTTTGCTGCTGCTGGACTTGAAAGAGGACCCTAGAAGGATGAATATTGGAATTGATTAGCCAATGACTAAATAATAACAAACAAATATGAAATATGTGTGTATTCAAAGATACATTTGGCAAAAGTGAGTATTACAAGAACTTCAGAAAGGAAAATGTTCATTTCTTCACTTTCTTTACAAATATTAATTTTGAAGTTCCTTCAGTTATTGCTACATTATTATAGTAATACCATGACACAGAGTAACATAGTTCACTCTTCTTTGCTTTAGATGCCAAGATAAGAGAGGTACAACGAGTTTGGTCTTTGGTTCCCTTATCTCTACAGCAGTAATTCTAGTCGCTGGTCCCATGGGGCATTCAGTAAAGGCAATTCAGTTTGGGTAAATGACGCCGCTGTTTAATACCTGTTTCCTTGCTGAGTTCTGTCAAAATTTCTTGGTACATAGTCACCATTTGATCACAGTGAGTAAGGACATTTTTCCGTAGGTTGTCCCAGTGTGGAGACAGGTCACCAAGTTCTTTTAACTCCTGGTTTCTGTTAAGAATATAAAACAATAGTGCATATTTTTTGTCTTTTATCTCAACAGTCAAAAATAATTATAGCTTTCAAACAAATAACAATTTGTTTCAATATCCTTCTAAAGAAACTATGAGTTTACCAGCTTGAAATAAGAATTAAAAAATTACAAGAAGTTTAGACTGTACAGCTATCAAGAAAGCTAACTTTTTGATGAAATCTCACAGATAGTATGGTTGGGTACAGATACCTTGCATTCATTTATCTCAAGGACAATTCTCAGCTTAATCCAAAGGAATACCTAATCCTGCCATTTAGGTTTAAATTATTAACTTTTTTATCCGAATCCTAGCCTTTAGCCAAGTTAATTTAAATAACCAGATTGCCTTTTAAAAGTGATAGTGATGAATGGCTGGGTACACTGTGTAGCTGGATGGCTCCTCGTTCCCATGACCTTTTGCTGGCCACATTTTCATGATGCTAATTTAGCCAGCAATAATGAACTGTCTTTGCAAATTTGAGCATGAGACATGCTAAATACCAAGCTAATAAATTCAGAAGATGTAGAATCTTTACTATGTCAGAATATTAAATGCAAGAATAATTGATGGTTTTTTCAAATGTGCTTTGTTTTCTGGTCTTTGTTGCCTTTGCTTTGTTTCAATGGGATTGTGTTGAAGTCCACTCCGTCTTTCATTTGACGTCTTTACAGGCTTTGCCAACATCAATCTCAGCCTCAGTTTTCCCAAAGATTATCTTCAGTGGCATGATATTCACTTGAGAAGTAACTAATCAGTAGGAAATGAGAGTAAAAGCTTATGCTAAAACAGGAGGTAGAGATAGATAGGAACGTTTAAAAACGGAGGAGCTGTGTTTTCTGACCTCAAATCATAGGCTATTCAAATTGAGTACAAAAGAATGACAAGACAAGCAAGTGACTCCAGAAAGCTCAGAAAGTCGAGCCTAAAAGAACCAATGCTAGTAGGTTGGGTCTAAACAGACAGCTGAGTGGTACATCAACCTAACTGGCAAGTTTCTGTTTTTTGCTATAAACATGTAGTTCTAGATTGAATGTTAGTTTTTAGTATTTCTGTGGCATACTAATAGAGGTGTGTTTGTGACTCATGAAGCCGCTCACTCATCATCAGAAACACAAACTGAAGGTTTGGATGATCAAGGAAAGGTGGGCACATGACAGTATCGTTGAAGTTCATGTGGGATGAGCTCAAGTGGTTATGCATGGCAATGAGATGTTTCCCAAACTGTGGTCCAAGACATTTATCATTCTATGGGGTGAGAAGTGACTTAAGATAAACTGTTAGGATTCCTTAACAGAAGACGGGGTTAAATTTATTACATTCCTCCAATATGTTGCAATCTATACAGAGACATACGTAGATAGGCCTGATAGTTCTAACAGCTGGCACTGAGAGACACACATACAGAAACATCAACATATGATTACTTCAAATGGAGAAAAGTACAAATAATAGGATGAAACCAGAGCAGTTAAACAGCAAATGTGGCACTTAGTTGCTGTAAGGTTAAAAAAATATAATTGAAATAAAGTGATAACAACAACACATTAAAGTAGATTAAAAAGAATTTAATAGGTAACAGAAATGAATGGACCTTGTAATCGGGAGGTCAGGGATTTATTTTCAGCAATGTTCTGATATTGCAATTTATTGTTAAGTGAGCAAGACTTACAAGTTCAAACACCATTTTTTGCCATATTGTATACCTATTGGTTAAGAGTCAGCATATAGCACATTAATTTTAGTACGCTTCTACTTGTGTAATATGTTCCCCGGTAAGTTGCCACTAGATAAGCAATTTTCCTATGTGAGAAAAGCAAAGCCGTCTCTTGCCTATAAGAAAAGATGGGTGCCTGCCCTGCTGAGGGTACCTCCTTGACACATATCATTTGGAATGTACTAAAGTCTGACCTTCCTCACAGGGAATCTGATATAGCTATCCATATGAGAAGATAAGGTGACAGTTTTGAAAGTATTTGGGGCTCATTATTGAGCAATAGGCCAAGGTCAAACATGAATATATACTTGAACTCAGCAAATCCAGAAAAGCAAATAAAGTGGGCCAAGCACTAGCAATTACTTGTACAACACACAAACACATGATTTCTATAGATCCCATTAGCATATAAAGCAATATCTTTCATATATTACAAGAAGTTTAAGAAGAACTGTTCACCCAGGAAGAGGATGCATTGCCTTGACCAGATTGGCATCTGACCATGCCTGTGAAGGATTATTTTGATGGATAATTGATGTGGGAGAGTCCAGACTACTCTAAGCATAACCATCTCTAAGCAAGTGGGCCCAGGCTCTGCAAGAAAGCAGAGAATGGTCCAGGAGTGAACCAGTAAGCAGCATTCCCCCATGGTTTCTGCTGCAGTTCCTGGCTGAGTTCCTGCCCCAACATCCCTCATTGCTGAATTGTGAGTCATAAGTGTAAGCCAAATAAAACCTTTGTTGCCAGCCAGGCGGTGGTGGCACACGCCTTTAATCCCAGCACTCGGGAGGCAGAGGCAGGCGGATCTCTGTGAGTTCGAGGCTGGGCTGGACCGATAGCCTCCAAAACAATACAGAGAAACCCTGTCTCCTAAAACCAAAAAAAAAAAAAAAACCCAAAAAAAAAAAACAAAAAACAAAAAAAAACCTTTGTTGCCCAAATTGATTTGGATCCCAGTGATTTTATCACAGCAAAAGACAGCAAACTGGAAAACATTCTACTGGAAGAAGATACAGTTTTAAGGTTATGTATATCATAAAGATAGTTCTAAAGATAGTTCAAAGCACAGTTATCCATATATACAGATAAAAAGAGAATGTTTTGATTCTGTATGCATGCATTTAATGTTACAATATTATCTGTTATTCATATGGCAGGAGATGTACATAGAGATGGGGAAACCGCCAATGGTGGCTATAATGCCCATCTTTCCACTGTAGTATTAGAACATCTTTCAATCTCAAAACGACACAGAATACTAATCAAGCTATGTACTATCGGAATAAATCCATTATTCCACCAGAGAAAACTAACTTTAAGCACACAGAATATCACAGCAATAAGGGAGGCCAGAGAATAATCCAAATTCTTGTTTGACCAATGGAGAGACTTAGTTATCACTGGCAATAGTCATAGAGCTGCAGAGTACAGATTCATATCCATATGGACCTCACATCGTACATTCATCTAATGTATAAAGAAATAAACAACAGGTTAAAAAGTAAACCTCAAACAAAGTGTACTTAATGAACATGCGGAAGCAATGGGATTTATAACCTGGGTTATTCACCTTCAGAACTACGAACATATGTATGTCAAGTAGAACGGAGGAAAGCCCATGAAGCTTTGAGGCTACACAAAGCCTATGGGCAAGACAGGAAATCTGGGGAGGGAGAGCCGGCTTGCCCAGGGAAGAGCACACCAGCTGGTTGCCCAGTGCCAAATGACGAGCTCTAAATCACACATACAGGCAATGTTCTACAGACTGAGCAGGGTTTATCTAGGGGCATGTATATACATAGATATACATGCATAGAATAGCAATTAGTGGGGAAAAGAGGCCATGAATTTGAAGGAGAGAGTTGTGAATGGTAGATAGGATAGAAAAGGAGCATGTTTAATTAAATTATAATCTCAAAAATTAAAAAGAATAAACATGAACATGAAATAAATCACACTGTGGGAAATTTTTTCTTCTAATATTTTAGCAGTGCAAAGTCAAGGAAATTATATAAAGTGTAACCAAATGAATGCACTGTCCAATTCTATAGGACCCTGTGGTCAACTCTCTAAGTCCCCTCATGGATATAACAACAACACAAAGCTACTGTTACCAAAAAGTAATGAAACATTTTAATAAGTTTTTGAAGAAAATGACAAAAGACATGAATTGTGTAAATATATCTTGATTCACAGGAATAAAACTTATATAATCCTTTCCCATCTATGTATAACTTATATTGTAGTATTAAGTTTTCTCCTTTCAAAATCTTGATCTTCTACAGGTATTCCAAGTTATACACACAATCTAAAAATTCCAGGTCAGGATCCATATAACAGTAGAGGGGGCAGAAAGACTCTACAATCCCAGGGGGGCTTCTGGAAGACTGCCATGAAATGGCATTCCTGTACACGGTAGGGCACTCTGATGTTGCTTACATAAGACCTGCTCCATATCGGGCCAGTCAGCCTTCTAGCAAGGATGGAGAGTAGTTCCTGAGCCCCATGCTCTGGCTGAGAAGCTATTTACAACTGGCTGCTTCTAGAAGGGTATGACTTCTTATAGATTGCTTATGCTTCAATATGGGGTCCCCCACCTGTGAGCATTTGGGCAGCACTAGTTGGAAACAGTAGATGATACAATTTAAAATAAATAAAAAGGGAAAATGTAGATGACATGAAATTTAAAGGAGTTTGTGGTGTCCAGAAGGAGTTGGAAGCAGGGGTGCTGGATAAGATCTAAATATAGTGTATTCATGTATAAAATTATCAAAAAGTTAATAAAAATAAAGCATTAAAATATGTCTTTCAGTCATGACTCTATGTTTCCAATAGCACGATGATTCTTCTCAGGCAAACCACTACCCTGCCAAGAACTATCTCATGTTCTCATTATAATTCCCTTACTAGCAATCTTCATCTTATGCAATCTTCTAGCCTGTCTCCAAGTCCACCTCATCCTTTAGCAAACAAAAAGAACAGGCTGGATATTAAACTATTAGTAAACGCAGGTCCCTCACATGCACAAATATCTACAAAGGACAGGAGATAGCTCAGCCTTGCTACACAGGTAACTCATGCTCTGTCGTTATGGGCATCCCATGTGCAAAGTGGGACATCCTTCATACTCAATGAAAAACTGAGACAGATCACAGCAATAACTTTAGAAGTACCTAGTATCTGCACGTCTGGTTTTGTATCACTTTGTCTAAATAATTCAAAAACACTTGCTTTTCCTTTCAGGAGACATGCAGGTTCTTTCA